AACGACACTTATATAAGTCATAATAATAGCCCAAATATTTATTATAAGTTCATAATAACAACACTAATTTTAAATATAAACTATATTTAAAATAGGGTAAGCATAACTTACTTACAAGGGAGTTTTAGCTAGGAATCGAGCTCTGCAGGGGCAGAACTTCGTCGCTGAATCTTTCTAAGAAAGATTCGTGCAAGGTTTCAGCGCTCACCTTACTATACTAAAACTACAGAAAGAGAAGTCGAATAATGAGGGACCGAAATGCTCAGGGGATAAGAAGAGAAAGACTCTTGAATCAAGAGAATGGTGCAAGAAATATGAGAGCCCAAGGCTCTTATTTATAGTAATTGAATTTACAAAAACCACCCTCCATAATTACTTAATGAATTTATAGTTATATAAACGACTAAACATCCCTTCATAATACTATTTTAAATAGATGTAACGATATTTGTACAAAACAAATGTCGAAAGTACTCAACAATAGTCGTATAATGACCGCATCGTTGATACCTTTCTAATGATATATACATTTGCATATATAATATATATATATATCTATATATATATATATATGTAAATATGATTTATACTTTATTTTAATACGTAAATATGCTATTAAAATTTATAACTCGTTCATATGAACTCGGTTTTGACGTTCGTTATATCCACACATAGGCAGGACCGTACCCTACAACTTTCGTTTACACTCCGTCGGCTAATTTTGACATTATTTTTAAAGTTATATTTTTAACAAGTCGGGATAGGAAAAGTCCGTTGCGCTACTATTAACAAGTTCTTCGATTCCCGTTGAGGTTGCGTCGGCCAAAAATCGAACGATCTAAAATTCGAATTTCGGGTTGTACACCATCATGCCAAATCTTAGAAAAATCATAACTTCCTCATACAAAGTCATATTTTGACGTTCCTTTTATGCACACTCTCTGTTTAACAAACACTACGACTTTTGTTTAGATCGCTAAGGCTAAAAATCACCTTGTCATAAATTCACTATTTACGTCGCAATGTCGTGCCGGTTTTTTCGTAAAACTTCGACGAGCCATAACTTCTTCGTTATAACTCGGATTTCGACATTTTTTATGTAACACCCAGAATCTGAAAGACCAAGAAAGGAAAGGAAAAGCTCTAAGTCAAAGGAGTCATTTCGTCGAGTCCAAGGAAGAACTCAAAGACTGAGTGACCGACTCGAAGAGTCGGCGAGTGGACTCAACGAGTCTAACCTGGATTGAGAAAGCCTAATTTAGGGACTTGGTACCCTATTTAAGCGTCTTATTCTCTCCCCTAGGGCTCATTTGCGGCCCCTAGAGTCCAGAACTCGTAACCCTAGCCACCCAACTCCATTGTTGAGCTAGTTTCATCCCTTGAGAGTGAATTGGAGCTTGGAGAAGGAAGAAGGACCTTGGTGGTGCAAGAAGAAGCTATAGATCCAGAGTTGGGGTAGCATTTCAGACCACATAGAGGTAAAAATCTTATAAATTGACTATTAATTGTATAAATCCCCTTTTCTAGCTTACATTGGTCACATTTGGACCATTCCCAAGGCCAATCCGAACATTGAGCCATTAGGGATGAAAAGGACTTAAGATCTAATCATTTCTGAGCTTTAAAAGCTCTGAGGAGGTAGCTTTACCCAGCCATGGCTCCATTTCATGACCTAGACCTTCATATTAGCTTGAAATTTGTGTTCTAGCTAAATAGCATCATGCATGCACATAATGTTAACAACTTTACGTGCAATGCTAGCATTAGAAGGCCGAATCTACGAGTTAAAGGTGTTGGAATAGACTTTAATCGACAAAATAGAGTTGTCACCAAATGGACTCGGCGAGTCAGTTCATGGACTCGGTGATTCGGGTCGCAAACCCAAACCCTTATGATTATGAGTCGAATCAGTAAGTGAGGTTGGTGAAGGATTCAGCTAGACTAGGTCTGTAATGGATATGAAGATCACCGTACTCGACGAGTTCGAAGAAGAACTCGGCGAGTCCAAGACAATCTTCCTAGTGTATGAAGATGAACTTGACGAGTTGTTCATACAACTCGATGAGTCATGGTCTATACATTCATCCGATGATGATGAACTCGACGAGTTCAAGGATGAACTCAGCGAGTCAGTTGAAGATGGTCCCGTAGTGTTAGATGAAGGAGAACTCGTCGAGTTCCTGCTAGACTCAACGAGTGGAGTCGGGTTGTTTTGAGATTGGAGGAGCATGGTCTCGACGAGTTGGTAGAACAACTCGACGATTCGGGTCAACTGAAAAGCTGACTTTGACTAGGACTTTGACCTTGAGAAGGACTTTGACCAGAGGTGACTTAGTTCCTCCGGAGGAAAGTTTAGCCTAAGTATTATTATTTGGTATTGGTAGCTCAGGGAGCTACAGAAGAAGCGGTTCAGAGAGTGTTGGATAGCAGCCAGAGGGTTATTAGCAGCTTCAACAGTACGAGGTGAGTTACCTTTCAGTAGCTGTGGGTCTACAGCGATAATGCTGGCCCACTAGTAGGAGTTGTATGTTAGATGATTGTCTTTTTGATATTCGTCTAGGTTTGCTACTACCCGATATGTTTATGTGCTAGTAGCAGTAGGGGAGATAGTCCCCAAGATTACCGGTCGATAGGGCCGAAGAGGTAGTCATACCTAGTTTTGCTAGATAGTTTATGATTATGTGATATGTATTATGTTGTAGTAGTAGAGGGGTGAAATAGTCCCCAGTATCCGGTCGAAGGGACCGAAGGGGAGGCCAGCACCCAGATATGTTGGGCAATATCCGGTCGAAAGGACCGACGGGGAGGCCGACACCCAGATATGCTAGGCAGTTATCCGGTTGAAATAGACCGCATGGAAGGCCAACACCCATATATGCTCGGAAATATCCGGTCGAAAGGACCGAAGGGGAGGCCAGCACCCAGATATGCTCAGCAATATCCGGTCGAAAGGACCGAAGGGGAGGCCAGCACCCATATATGCTAGGCAGTTATCCGGTTGAAATACACCGAAGGGGAGGCCAACACCCAGATATGCTCGGAAATATCCGGTCGAAAGGACCGAAGGGGAGGCCAGCACCCAGATATGCTAGGCAATATCCGGTCGAAAGGACCGAAGGGGTAGGTCAGGCACCCAGATATGCTTGATAGTATGTGTGTTTTATGTTAGTATGGTATGTGGTATGATGGGGGAACTCACTAAGCTTCGTGCTTACAATTTTCAGATTTGTTTCAGGTACCTATTCAGTGAAGAGGAAGGAGCCAGCACGGTAGCTGCACATCATACACACACACGTTGGATTTTCGCACCATGAGATTCTTGCGATTGTACTATGACATTATTATTATTTTTGTGATTTGGTTTTCAAACATGAGATATGGTTTTTATGAAATAATATGATCAAATGATGTTTTCTTACAAATGTTTTACAAAGCAATTAATTAAAAATGAAATTTTTGGACTCGACATTTGGGATGTTACAAGTTGGTATCAGAGCCCTTGTTTGAGGGATTCGGACACACCCTCGGGAGTGTCTGGACTCAAACCGATGGATTAAAAGATTTTTACAAAAGAAAATTGTTTTCTAAAAGCTAAGTTAAAGAGTTTTGAGAAAGAACAAGGTGTGTGATGTGCGCGACCGGCCGAGCTCAAGTAAGTTTTCCCCAAATTACCCATACAAGTTATGTTATGATTATCAGTTAGTACAACAAAATGCTACATTAGGACTAAGGATCTAGGAGGATGCCTTATGTGCCTGTTATATGTGCTTTGAGCTGCATGATAGTGTGTATTAGACAGACATAGGATAGCCTGTTTAGGTTATGCCTGAGTATATGAGATTATGTCGCATGCTAGTAATGATTCTTGATGTGTGATAATGATTGCTTGAGTATGTTACGGTTAGAATTTACTTTGTATGAATGTTGCTTGCTTTGTGCTTTGTGGGATTCTGAGTGATGGGAGTTGGTCGTTAAGTGAATACGTTAAGTCACATGTAATCAGGGTTGAATAATCTTAGAGTATTGGATTTGACCCTATTGTGTAGCTCTTGTATGAGTCCTAACCGTTGTAGGGATGAGTCCCTTACTCGAAGGATTATCCGAGCCTCGTTACATGTGATGGTATTCAGGAGATGGCTAATTCGCATTACGAGGAGACCTTCTGTAACGACCCAATCTTCACGTCCGAAAATTTCGTTTTGAAAACATTACTTTAGAAAACATTAAAAATTAAAAACACTGTTTGATCAAACCATAACACAATGTAAACCATGTCTAAAAGCCAAACCATACAACCCATCAAAATATTAGAGTACAAATCCCAGTGAATCTTGTAAATGCGGAAACCAGAGTGTGTGCATGATGTTCCGCTACCGCGCCAGCTCCTTCCCCTTCGAAGAAGAGGTACCTGAAACCAAAACTGTAAAAACGTAAGCACAATGCTTAGTGAGTTCCGCCATCGTACCACATACCATACAAACACATAACATACATACTGCCAGGCTATTCTGGGGTGCCTGACTACCCGGTACGACCATTCTGCGGTGTCGACCTACCCATACGACCATTCTGGGGTGCCGTCCTACCCGT